GCTGACAATAGATAATGATAGATATGTGGGGTTTTACGTCCTAAACCCACCATATGATCATGAGAGGCGCCGTATTGGAGGGCTCAGGAAATTTTGACCACCTGGGGTTCTTTAACCTGCACCCAAATAAAAGCACACGGGCCTACAACGTTTCTGCCTCCATTGAAAATGCAGCCGCCGCAGCCAGGATTCGATCCCGTGACTTGTGGGTCAGCAGCCGAGTATCTTAGCCACTAGACCACCGCGGCGCGGGGCGCTGGTCAATAGATAGAGTCAGCACATTTGTCTCACAACGTTAGTGTTTCAAAATTGGCTGACTTCCATTTTCGAGTGTCAACATGCTGTCTTAACTCAATAAACACAACATAATTCTACGCTATTCTCGCGTTTGAGACATTATTCGATGATTACCATAAAAATTCAAATGTGTTGGCGCTGCTATGACGTTTGCACAATAAAACATTTTCATATTATGTTGCGCTTGCAATTTAGAAGATAAAGCCGCAGTTCTGCAAAAAAAGGGTTGAAATCGAGCAGCACTGTTCAATAAGAACTCGGGTTTTATGATTATGTAATTACTTTGAACTTTTTTAGTAGCAGTTCCACGCGCAGTTGCCACGCGCCCTTATTTCTCTATTTTGATCTATTCATGTTTCACCGACAAAAGCTGTTACGTATCACTGCTCGGCCCGGGAAGAGGGGTAGGGTTGTTGTTTATGGCATCAAAAAAATTAACAAAGGTGAACTGAAAAGTGTATGTATTGGGCCCTGAGTTATAAACTTCAAATTTTATTTGAAGTCAAGCACAGCAAAGGCTGGCATTTTCAGCGATGCAACTGAAGCAAGCGAGTAAGGGATGAATGAAGCAAGCCATTTAAGAGACGTGAATGAGCACTGCTGCATATTTTGTCTTCGTCTCCGCCGTCCGATAGCTACAGCTAAACAAGTACCAGCCCCCTCTCTCTCCATGAAATTCCAGCTTGAATTAAATGCATACGAGCAGACAAACCAGCAGCAACCGCTTCACTGAATGGTGTTCCCAAAACCAAATGAAATGCTGTCGTTTAGGAAAAGTAAATATTATTATCAGACACTCGCTATTGAAGAGGAGAGCGAATTATTTCTTGTGAGCTAAGTTCATCAATGGACAACTAAATGTGCATACACAGGCACTCTTTCCTTCCTCTTTCATCGAAACGCAGCAGTCGTAGTACAGAAGCAAACTCAGCAGTGCAAGGCCATTGCCGCACAGCCATAGCGGCAAATCAATGAAGAGGATTGGGCCAGTTGGTGATACATGATCAAAGTATACTGCATAATAGAAATCATGGACGGGGAAAAGACTGGTATCTGGCAAATGGCTAATGCGTGTAATGAATTTGATACTCTGCCTCGTGCTTTGGGTATATGAAATTTGTCGTTTGTTGAAATGCTAACCTTGCTTTCTTCTTTTTTTTCTGGTTTGTCAGATATAAATTGAGTTCGTGATAAAAATTGGCCCCGTATCTGCGTGCTAATCTGTAAATGTCGTCGAAAGACATCTTGCGTGTGGAGAGAGTGAACAAAACGTTTATTTCATGTTCTGCGCATGAAAGTCGGTGAATGATATTTTGGAGGCGCTACGTTGGAGTGCCTCGAGCATGCAGCGGAGGCGAGCGAGTGCATCAAGTACCATCACACGTGAGACACGAGCGATATCTGGCAGTTATCCTGGAAAACAGAGCGCGCGCTGAGTGCGCCCGTCTCTGAGGTGATAAGGTGTAAAACGCAGGGCGGCGGGTAGGTGCCACCACCGTGTCGTCTTAGCAAAGCGTTGAAAACACTTGCCGTTTTATGCAAGCGTTGCATGGCCAGCGCAGCGTTATAAAGGCTACGATCCTTAAAATTACGTATGTATGCATTTTCTAGTGAAAAATAGATACATAATATTGTCGTCTTGTTATGGTGCCTCAGATATGCGCAATAAGTGCTTTTTAATTGACAATCACAAAAGTATGCACGCTGTATTTTGAGCAATATTGGTGGGCGCTGCGGATGGGGTGAGCCGTTCGGGGTATCGGCTGGTGCCGTTTATAGTACCGGGTATCGTTAAGGGTAGACAAACAGACAAATGACAGACAGACCAAAATCTTTGCGTCGAAGGTTTCTAAGAAGGACTATCGTCTTTAATAAAGCTTCAATTGATAGCCTGCGCTCATCTTTGTCGTTTTCCCTATCCGTGTCCACTGCTTTTGAAGTTTTCTCTTTCCGGAAGGTAGTGACTACGCTTTAAGCCATAATTTTTCGAAGTATAAAATAGCAACCACTGTGCCATCATTCCTCTCTCTACTAATAAACAAAGCATGTGATACCGATCAGTAATGAATCATGTGCAGTATATTTTTTTTGATGCTCTGTGTGTCTGATGACAATGAAGAATTATCGCTCAGCATATTGGAGTGGAGGGGAAAAGATTAAAGCCCACATGTCCTGCGCAATCAACATGGTGTGATGCTTCGTTGTTATTTTACTAATATGTTACGCTGCATTACATATGTTAACACTATTTTCTGCTCGACATGGCAATTTATACGGTTTTTATTTCAAAGAAGCTATCAGCACCATCATGGCTCTGTAGTAGAGTACTCAACTGCCAAGCATAGGCCCGAATTCGAATCCCCATCGACCCTGGGTATTTTTTCCTTCGTTTAGTTTTTTCAAGTCTCTCGGTTGCACCGCCGACGCCGACAGAAGTGGCGATGGTGATGCCGCGCAAGACAGGAACGAGCCCTTCAGAGCTGCGCTCTGAACTTGAATGACTTGATGTATTCGCGAGAATCTGTATGTATGCGAAGGAGAACGCACTGATAGTTGAAATAAGCCCACCGATCATGTATTATCTAGGTTACTTTATGCGAGCCGATAATGCTAGCGTCCTGAAGCAAAATTAGCTTAAAAATTTCACCACTGTCAAACTACACTGTTTGTGTGTATAGGTGCGCACGTGCAATAAGGCATGCACTGCATCAGAAAAGACACTTCTTTTTTTTTTCATTTTCTTCGACATTCTGCATTCGCTACGTGTAGAAGGATGTTGCAACGCATTGTAGCATTACGCACTTATGCACACACCAGTATTAAATTATACCACTGCACGTTTCTCCGACTACGTCATTCCGGTATCACTTGGGTTAAGGTGACATGACCGGCTGTATAGGGAATACATGCAATCGGCTATTGCTTTAGCTGCTGTACCAACTGTATTGAATAAAACATCTGAGTGTTTCCTGTTTTAGCGCTGTGGGTAGATACGCTTGACATTTAGTGTATGCATTTAAAAAAAGGGGGAATCTCAGTAATGTGCCACAGTATTGTTTAGACGTCATACTGTTTTTTTTTTTACCTTGCGTGTGTCGAACCTTCCTGTGACGTCCGCAGCAGCTGTGTAAAGCCGGTAATTAATAAATTGATCGGATAAGTAGACGACTGGAAATTGAATTTGTGATCCCAGCTGCAGGGAGGCAGAAAATACACGGCAGTGAAATGAACACGGTACAGGGGCCCTTTTCTGACAACGAAACAAATAATATAGTAGACCTATTGTCTCCCAACTTTGCAGAAGACCTGTGGTGCGTATTCTAGCTCTCATTGGGCCGACATATTACGCTAGCTCATATGAATTTAAGGTGATTGTTATCCTCAACAGCAAAGCAAATAGAAGACTGGTTGTTTCTAAGTTTTTACAGTGTAGTCTTCTTACATAAAGTCCGCGATAGTTGCTACAAGCCTTAGTTTGGTGTCAGACGCGATTTGTCATGGCAAACAATGCAAACACTGGAATACAAATAGAACGCGTGTTTCATCAAGATGCAAGGACTACTTGCTTTTTCTGACTTTTTTCTTCTGGCATGCAGGCATTTCGGGTAATTGTCATGGATACGATCAGATTATCGGAAAGGCCCACACACTGTCCTTTAGTCGAACCAGAATCACCAAACGTGTACAGCGCTACCATGGAATGTACAGGGAATCGAATGCACGGTTGCTCGACACCTTCAAGAACGCGTTTGCTCCGACGCTAACCAGTAAAACCAACGCAAGTGACGACAACCTGCCAGCTCCACGGTTCATCGACATTGGATGCGGCACAGGAAATTTCACCCTCAACTATCTTCTGCCACGCTGCTCGTGTCAGTGCCTAGAACTTGTAGTCGTCGACAATTCGCCCGCCATGCTGGAATACGCGAGGATACATCACAGCCACGAGAAGATTCGTTACGAGCATCTGGACATCGTTGAAGGTGACGTGGACAGATTTGTGACAGAGCACGGTCTCTTCGCACGTTTGTTTTCTTTCAACTCAATGCACTGGATCAAGGACAAAGCTCGAGCTTTCAGAAACATGGAGAAGCTGATGCACCGGGAGCAGAGTGCTTTATCGTATTCGAGAAGTCTATCCCAATATTCGAGGTCTTTATGGCTCTGGCAGGTTCACTACGATGGAAAAAAGCATGCAGAGGTAATACATTTCAACAAGTATCAATAAAAAAAATCAGAGTGAGCTGTGTTTCTGCTTGTTATTGTCACTTTTGTTACATTATATTGATTCTTACGTATAGGTGGTCGCGCAAGCGTTTGTTGTATGTAATACCTATATTTAAGGCTGGATTAGTAGACGTTGCTGTGTTTGAAGCCAAAGCTTCTTATGATATGAATAGAAAAACAGAAAAACAGCAAACTAAACAACGAGATAAAACTATGAAAGAGCCAGAATTTCTGGGCAATTATATTTCGCGTTCGTTGTAGATGTCTGTTTATGTTTCGAAAATCTATCGATTTGCAGTTAAAACTTGTTTCATCTATTAGCCCATCAACATATCAGTAATGTTATGCATTATATATTGTGTAAAGTATCTCTTCGTACCAACAAATATGCGCTTTTTTGCAATTTATGCAAACAGGTCCTGCTAGAGAGGGTTCCTAGCACAGCTTGCTGCATGGACATTACTTCGTTGAGGGCGCAGTTGTGGCGTGTCTTGAACGAGACGAACCTAACACCTCTCGCATGTGAAGTTCTGCGATTGCCAGTGGTCGAAATACCAAACTTAGACGACGCAACAGGTAAGGCAATAGCTTTAAAGCTTCTTTCTATTATAACAACACTGCTTGTTTGAGTGGATATAGGTGGCTCGAACGTGGAATACGTTCGCTTTCGCGTGTGACTATTAAATAACTTTGCCGGGGGCATAAGTCGGCAGTCCATTATGTTAGAATTTTTACCCATTATTTTGTATTCTGAGCCATTTCATAAAAGCGGTATGCGTTAATGATTTGCCTCAAAACGTTCAGCTCTCAACCACTCTGGTTTCCCGATGGGATCAGTAAACGAGCGAAAGGAGGACATACTCGGAGGATGCTTAAGCTTCATCTTTGGGATGAGTTTACTCGTTTTATTGGCGAAATTTTGAATTTTTGATCACGGAAACAATTACGATTTTTCGCACATGATCAACGACACTGTAACTGACAGTGTCACGCACACCAAAAGTTTCTCAACACGAGCTTTTGAACGTTAGTATAGGAATATGATGAGTGTAGGCGAAAGTGTCATTATATGCGCCGACACCAATCCTAAGCCTCCTCAATTTTAGAGTAGTATACGTGCACATCAGTTGTTGAAGAATAACGCAGAGGCAGAGGGTCTATCAGTCTGGTTACACTAAAAATCTAGTATATAGAATCCGATCACCAAAATACGTTGCAGTGCATACTGCCGACATTACAAAGTTACATTTGTTTGTTTTTTTCAATATCCTTGAAAAAAACTGTCGTCCTGAGAGTTCTAACATCGGAAACTGGGGACCTTCCGGAGAGTCCGCTGTCAAGTTATGGACATAAATGTATTTAGAGATGACTTATTGATCACCATGCTTCTCCGAAATTCTTTCGCAGACCGGATCGTTTCCTACAATCCCATTTACCGACTTATCAAAGAGAAGGATGAGCTCATTCAATCGACACGAAAAATTCTCGCCGAGAGAGCCCAAGGAATCACCGAAGGCCGGGTGCGGAATTACCGGTTTACTTTCGTTATCCACGCTTTCAAACCAACAGAGGCGAGCCTCTCCACTGATCTGCAGACTGAATAAAGCATGCTTCTTCTTTCTCAGAGTATTCAATTACGCTTAGATGCGAAGTGTCCTATTGTCGAACTCAATCCGCTGTCGGGACCACCAATGCAGCGCACCGCGTCCCCTCTCTCCTCTACTGGGTTCCCTTGTCTCTGCCTCGCAATGCCGACGCTGGCGGCATTTGCTAGTGAGTGCTCACCCCCCCTTCCCCTCTCGTTTACAGCCCCATTGTATCATGGCTGCCATAACCTTTTCGATGAAGGCGAAAATTCTCGAGGGCCGAGTACCCCTATTTTGGTTGCACGTTATGCAATCCAAGGCATTCAAAATTTCCGAAGCCCTCTACAGAGGCAGTACTCATAATAATACCGTGGCTTTAAGACGTTACACCAAAAAAATGATAACGAAGACATAACAAGTATGCCTCGCCAAGTAAGGATAACGTAAAGCAAGCTAGCACGTGGTATCGCCTGATTGAAAGCTGACATTTTAACATCACAGATTTGTTAACTTACTTAGCTTAGGGGTGAATGAATATTCAAAATGAACGTGCACACTGTACAAGACGCTTCGTTAAATTTGAAGCGTGCTTGCCAATGGGTACAGTGAAGTAAAAACATGTGCACGATCTTCTTCTTTCAGATGAAATAAGCTTTTGAAGTTAAATGTTTAGGACATTTTTTTCGAACACAAAACAGCTAAGCATTTACTCTCCAGGCTTTTTCCCCGGCCAAACCAGCTGAAGTAGAATGTGGTGACATATTTGGGGGCCTGAAACTGTCCTGAATTGCGGTCCGAAAATTCCAAGAGGTTAACAAAAATTTCCTTTTCATCACTGCTAATTTCCCCTCTTGTTCAATGAACATTATTAGATCTTTACTGAATGCACAGTTACGCTTTCTACAGGATTACATAATTTAAACTTTTATTTGGGATCGCTTTTTTTTTTCATAGTGTGCCGCACACATTGCTTAGCCACCGAAGACCGATTTTTCTGTGCCCCTTAAAAGGTACAAAGAAGTGGACGGGCACCCCAACTAGTTGTAACTAGCAGCCTTGCTCCGAAGACAGAGTGTTGTCCTTTCAAAGGCTTCGTCATTAGCACTGTCATCCTGTATTCGCACTAAGCAGAGAGATTGGCACCATCAATATCTTGCTGCGTCGCGCCAGGCCTGCCACGTAATTAGGGTCCGACGTGCACAGCTGTCACCCAGAAAATATTGATCGCCGAGTTCATCAGCCCTTGGTGACATTTTTGCAGTACTACAGTTGGTCGGCACAATTGCCAGCAAATCGATTAGCAATCATCTACTTGGTAAGGGAAGAATTATACTAATGATGGAAAAATTGTGCTTCACATTATCAAGAACAGGAATGAAGAACAAAAACATTGTTCAATAGGGCACAGTGAACGCACTTGCAATAAAAGTTCACAATTTTCGGGGAATAATTAAATAATCAGCCTCTGCTTAGACTTATACGAAAAAAAAGAACATAAATGTCCCTCCAATCGCTGCAGGAATAAATGAAAGCAACATTAGGCAAATCACGTGCTTCAATTGTACCGATGTTTCCGTGGTAAATTGGCTACCACTGCATAATAATAGTTTAAGCTTCGTTGAGGCGACTACGGAAGTTTTTAAGGCTTTGTTGCATTAGACCGCAGTTTGTTCAAAAACAACTTGCTGAAGCTTCGAAAGAGTGATAGTTCTTGCAGTTAGCTGATCGTCGGTATAGGCGCTGTTTTACTGTACTGCTAGATTTGAACACCAAGCACTCAAGGGAGGAGGAGGAGGGGGAAGAGGAAGGAAAGAAATGAGAGGCAGGGAGGTCAACCAGACGCACGTCCGGTTTGCTACCCTGCACTGGGGAAAGGAGTGAGGGGATTAAAGGAGAAAAGAGAGAGAAGTGAAGGGCAACGTATGTGTCGATGTGACCTTGTCCAATGCACGCTTATAAGCGGTCGCGTAGTCCGGTCGTCTTTAGAAAACTTAGCAATGCCCACATCGCTTTGCTGGCCAGCGACGCGTAGAGCCATGAGCCAAGGATCTTCGCTTCGGAAAAAGGTCTACTGTCTAGTGTCTCTAATGTTTCGCGTAGGAAGTTGCGTTCGCTCGCAAAAAGTTCACATGAACACAGTAGATGTTCTATTGTCTCATCAGTGTCACACGATTCACATCGGGAGCTATCCGCCATTCCTCTGCGAAAGGAGTACGCCTTTGTAAAATCTACTCCTAACCACAGGTGGCACAGTAAAGTTGCATCCTGACGGGAGAGGTCCGATAGAACTTGAAGCTTTCTCGATGGGTCCAATTTGTGTAGGCGGTGGTTCCTGACACTGGGGTCACTCAGCCAATGTTTCCGACATGGTGTTAGCGAACGAGTGAAGGCCCCTTGCAGCGTCGGTTCTCGACAATGGAATTGGGGTTGTCTGGGCGTCCGCGTGGGTGGATCGGGAGCATTAGCAGCAAGGTCATTACCGACAACCCCACAATGTCCCTGTGACCACTGGAACACCATGTCATGTCCTTTCGATAAAACTTCGTGAATCACTTCTCTTATTTCATTCACTCGTTGTTGATGCTCCCTTTGTCGTAAAGCTGATTGCAAGCTCTGAAGGGATGCCTTGGAGTCGCAGAACACCGCCCATTTTTGAGGTCGGGCTTCCGCGATATAAGGTAGAGCAGCACGTAAGGCGGCAAGCTCCACTGCTGAGGATGTTGTCCTATGCGACAGTTTGAACTTTATAGTGACCTGGTACGTCGGGATGACAACAGCACCTGTAGAACTGTCAGCGGAGACCGATCCATCGGTGTAAATGTGGATCCTCTGGCCGTATTTTTCGTTGAGTAGCGACAATGTCACCTGTCGTAGGACCACTGTTGAATAACGGCTCTTTTTCGTTATTCCAGGAATAGTGAGGCACACCTGTGGTTGTTGTAGGAACCACGGAGGTGACGCTGGTCTTGTTGCTGGAGTGAAGCTAGAAGGAAGGGATTCTTTATGGGCAAAAATAATCTTTGAAAACATCGCTTGAGGTCTTTGAAGTGACAACACTGCAACATGGTGACCAGGAACTCGGCAGAGGTGTCTTATGTGGGCTCCTAAATTGTCAGTGGTGATATATGTTTGAATTGGATGCTCTCTTGCGATCATAATTGCCCCATAGGTTGAGGTGCATCGCGGCAATCCTAAGCACACGCGGAGTGCTTGTCCTTGCAGACTTTCGAGGGTGCGGATGTTCGTCTTGCACGTACTTGCCAGTAACGGCAAGCTATAGTGCAAAAGTCCCAGAAAAAGTGCCCTGTAGAGCTGCATCATTGACCTTATCGATGTGCCCCAAGATTTTCCACAGAGGAACAGCATTATATGGACGATGAAAGTTAGCCTTCTCTTCAGGTAATTGCAGTGGGCACTCCACGAAAGGCCCCTGTCAATAATCACTACCAGGAAGCGATGGTTCTTCTGGTATGGAATATTTTGTCCGTTGATGGTAACGGGGTGTTGTGTGATGGCTCTGCGAGTAAATGCAACCAATGCACATTTCTCCGTTGAGACGGAAAGACCTTGCTTGTGAAGATATGAGCATGTCAGGGTGGCCACCTGCTGGACTCTTGCACGTACTTGTAGACGAGTTACAGCCGAAGTCCATAGACAAATATCGTCAGCATACATAGATATGAGGATAGTACTTGGCTAAATTTCATGAAGTCCTACCATCACGAGGTTAAATAAAGTGGGACTTAATACGGCGCTTTGAGGGACGCCACGGGACGTATAGTAATTGGTGGTAGATCCATCTGAGGTTTGTACAAAAAAGGACCTTCTCGTCAAATAATCCTGGATCCATTAGAACATCCGACCACCGATTCCGACAGCTTCCAACGAGTCTAGGATGGCTTTATGTGTTACGTTATCATAAGCCCCTTTGACGTCGAGGTAGAGTGCCAGTGGTATGCACTTGAGGCTCTTCTGTTGCTGGATAAATGTTGTGAGATCAATCACGTTGTCAAGAGATGACCTACCTCGCCGCAAACCCGTCATGCAGTTTGGGTATACGCTGTAGCGCTCGAGGTATCATTCTAGGCGTGTAAGTATCATCCTTGCCATGACTTTTCCTACTCAACTTGCGAGGGCAACAGGGCGAAATGATGTCATATCAAATGGTGACTTTCCTGCTTTGAGTAGTGGCACAAGTCGACTTATCTTATAATCCTGGGGAACAATGCCCGCCTGCGATGAGTGGTTGTAATAGCTTAACAACTGTCCCCTTGCCTCCTTTTGAAGGTTGGCTAGAGCAGCGTAGGTGATGCCATCGGGTCCTGGTGAAGATGATTGTCGGCAAGCCGCCAAAGATGCGTCAAGTTCTTCCATAGCGAAAAGATTGTCCATTTCAGAGATGCGGGGTTCAGGGATAACACTCCTAATGGTGCTAGCGGACAAGGCGGACACACCAGCGATTCGCGTACAAAACTCATTTGCCACTTCAAGTTGGTTGGGGCCTAAATGTAGGGCTAAAGCCATGAAAGGATGTCTTTGTTGGGGAGTCGAGAGTAGGCCACGAATAGTGCTCCAGATGCGTGACAACGGCTTTCGGGGATCCAATCATTCACACAATGATTTTCAGCATTCCTGTTCAAGTTTGTGTAAACGTCGTTGGGCTTTTTTCTGTATGCGTCGTGCCTGCCTCAATTCGCATATTGCTTTCGTCCGCCTGTGTCTCCTTTCCGCCCTTCGGCGAAGCGCGCGCAGTTTTTCCAGTTCAACGTCGAAATCTCAACGCTTGCTGGTGAACGGGAGGAGACAGGAAGCTTCCCTCATTGCCTCTTTGATGACATCCTCCAAGTTCTGGTCAGGGTCTTCACGGCGTGTATTTTCCATGAGTCGCTGAAACTTGAACCAATCAATTCTTCGTATTGTGGTCTTAGGAAAGGAGTTAGTAAGATCCCTTATTCGCATATAAGTTGGAATGTGGTCACTTCCATGTGTTTCGATGTCTGAAAGCCGGTGCACTTGTGACCGAAAGTTTCTGGATACCAGAGTCAAATCGAGGC